TATTTCTAGGCACAATTAATATTTGCTTGTACCACGCACTTTGTGATGACCAAAAACATTAACAACGATGCACAGAAAGCTGATCACTTAAATGCCAAAATAATAACAGATTTAGTTTAGTCCTTGTAAGAATATTTAGATATAGAATATTAATTTACGCATGGTTTTACTATTTAAATACAATGTTAAAGAAATAAATTAAACATCTATATTTGAGCTTTTTCGTGCTTCGTCTAGTAAAAAACTTAAAAGTCAATTATCCCAAGGTATATTTATCGAGTATATTCGTCTGATCATGTCTGCAAATAAGGCTCTGTGTACTGTAGTGGTATATCGGCCACAATAAGTAATTGACCTACATGCTTAATTCAATATCATCCGATCGAATAGTGACGCAAGTCCTATGTGTGCTACAAGTAAACAACATATGAGGTTTGTGCTAATAGTGTAAGTAATATTAGCCCGTATCGGTCACTGGGTCAATACATCGAATTAAAAAAAAAAAATTAATTTGAATTTCTTAGTTTACTTTTTTTATTTTAACCAGCAGTATTAAGTGATTTAAGTGCATATCATCATCATCAGCCTCTTTATTTGGCCCATTTTTGGACTTAAGCCCCCTCCATTTTCCCAAAGTACGCCCAGCACTGGCCTCTCTGTATCTACTGGGAGCCTTGACGATGTCGTCAGTCCACTGTGGGCAGCTGTGCGGTCTTTTGTACTGCCGAGGTCTCCATTCAAGCAGCCTACGGGTCCATCGGTTCTTCTCCATGCGCGCTATGTGGAGTGCCCAACACCGCTTAGATGTTGCAACAGCCCTTAATACGTCGCTTACGTCGGTCTTTTCACGAATGACCTCATTTTGTACGAGATCGCGAAGGGAGGTGCTAAGCATTGCACGCTACATCGCCCGCTGCGCGTCTATCAAGCTTTCCGCCGTGCGTTGTGTTAGCGTTATGGTTTCGCCTCCAAAAGTAAAGAGAGGCAGGACGCACTGATTGAAGACAATTATTTTAAGTGCTATAGCGAGGGATCCCCGCATAACTTTTGCATCTCAGTGAAATTTTGTGCCCAAGACCCAAAACATCTACCGGTAGTTGGTTTTGTCTGGTTCTTTCGATGTTAGTCTTGGAAGAGTTCATCTTTAGACTCACCTTCGCTGACGCCCGGCTTAGTAATTGACTAGAGCCAACAAACTAAACAGTTATTAGTAGAACTCTAGTTCTATTTCTGGTCTATTAATCACGATTTTGTATTGTTCGTCTAACAGTTTTCAAATGGTTTTCCTTTGTGTATTAACTCGCAGTTTTAGCGACTTTCGGCTGTTATTATTGTTGTTGTTTGCTCTATAACTTTATCAATAATGTCCTTTGATTGACATAACCTTTACACATTAAAGAAAAAAACTTTAACCGGATAAAGTATGTATTATTATAAATTTTCAATTATTTAACATAATTTAAATTTATCCGACGTTCGCGGCTTTACAGCGGCGTGGTCACGGGACTGAAGACAAAAGGTGTTGAAGTCAAAAAGTACACAGCTGTAGAGAAAGTTGCATATCTGATTTATTTCCCCGGAGTTGGATCTATTATTTATTTATTTATTGATTAAGGAAACAAGGAAACAACAGATACATCTCTACACAGTAAATAAAATAAAAGTAAAACATAAAAATCACATTGGACATCCTTGACGACATCCATATCGACTAAAAGATGGAGGGTTTTGGCAAATAATTGTAAATTTATATATACATAACTTTAATCCGGTTAAAAGTTTGCTCTATAACTTTATCAATAATGTCCTTTTGGTATCGTTTAAGGTTTTTGCTTTTTTTTGGTGCTGGGTGCAAATGCGTCAATTTTTTTGCTGTATCTTTTAAAATTTTGCATATACGTGAGATACCAAGTATGTTGGATTGACACAGCTTTATAATATTAGTCCAGATATAACTTACTTAATTTATATTAACGACCATAGATCGAACATCAATTGCCGTAACGAATATCTCGATGGGGAGTCGTTACTGTACATATTCCACAACCTCTTCGATAGTCACGTCACGTCATTAGTCACGAAATTTTCCGTATTGGTTATTGACATTAAATTAGTCAAGTTTACTACACGAATACTATTCATAATATCGCTTCCGTTTAGTTTCAAAAACGCCAGTCTTTCTTTGATAGTTTTGGCAAATATTTGATTACGTCATTAGTCACGAAATTTTTCTATAATTACCATTAAATTAATCAAGTTTACTACACGAGTACTACTCAAATTATCGCTACCGTGAAGGTTCAAATACGCCTTCTTTTTTCTACTTACGTTTTCATACGTTTAACGTAGGTTTGTTTGTTTAAAAGACAACAATGAATTTCAGGTCAACTCAATAAAGTCGTTGATGTCACCGCGGGCTTGTGATAGTATTGTGGGAAAGTAAACAATATAACGATGTTACAAATTGGTACAAAAGCATACAATTTCGCAATATCTGTCAATATAAATGAGTTGCGGTTCGTTTGTCTCGCTAAAACTCAAGAATAGTTGGACCAATTTGGTTAACTATCTTGATATATTTGTGGAGTTAGAGGCAATTGAATTTTCCAATAAACTGTTCCTAGCTGGGAAATATTTGATGACTTTTGTCTTTTTAGAAATAAAAAAAATGCCTCTTGCTTGTCATATATAAGATGCCTTCAGAAATTTGTGTTTCATAGCTGTATGACACTTTGGTCTCTGTTAAACATTTTATATTAAGTTCGGACACTATTATCTTTTGGTGATACAAAGTTCAACGGGTCATCTAGTACTTAATAAAACACTAAGTGCAGGTTATATTAAGTAAATTTGTTATTAGTTTTTATATACCAGACCAATTCATAAGACTAATAATGTAAAATTCCTTTAAATACATATATTTGCGCGCCATTGTGTGTGGTAGGATATGCGAACTTACGATTGTACCACCTTACACATTTTTGTACCATATTCTTGCAATAAATTATTACTTATTCTGACATTTAAATGCTACTATATACTAGCTTCTTTCGGTTAGTACAACTTGTATACTATTAGTATACAAGTTGTACTGCATATTGCAAAGAACTGTTTGCGGTTCGTTGTAGTGACCATTAATCACAAAAGATGCCAACATTTTCGTAACTTCATGCCAGGCGTTGTTAAGATAAGCGTTTACATGCCTTTAATTTGATAGCTGAGGCACAAAATGTATGGATGTAGTCATTAAATACGTTTATTTTTAGCCACGATATCCTAAATTTTTCCTAATAGGAAGATCGTATCACTATACATTTACACACTATATGTATCATTATACATTCATTCTCGTTTAATACATTTAGTTCTCTTGACTCATGATTATTTATTTATTTTTTAATGCACGCCCCATCACATATACTTCAATTTTAACAGTTTAAATTACAAAAATATTTTGGAAATCTTAAAAAAAATTACTTAATAATTGCCTATTTAAATATTATGAACCGTTGAATTGATGAATTGATCAGCCCACTACCGAATATATCCAGCTCTGAATGAGAAGGGTTCTGTTTTATTCGCGAAGAATTAGAAGAAGGCGTCAGAACAGAAGATTGGTTTTAACAGTTGTTTGATACATTTAATGGATTATACAAAACAATACTAAGTTGGTACTACGTATTACTCTCCGTCCATTACATGCAATACTCTCCCTGTAATTTTTTACGGAACATAATAATCTAATATCAACCTAATGGTAGCCTTATGATTGTATGGCGTGATTATGGTTAGGCCCGCCCAACATCACCGTCTCATAATGTCGTAACGTCGTATTTGTATGCAAATACCACTCATGTGTATGTAAATGTGGGCCAAGATGTGTGTCAATTTGTCTGCCACGCTTAACGAGGCGACATTACAAATTGCTCCCGTTTTCTATTACCGTCTTGTTTATTGTCATTGAAATGTCACTGGTACTTGAAAAATACCACTTCATGTTGATCGATATTTAGAATATTAATAAAGACTAATTTTGTGCATGGCGCATTTAAGAAAAAAATAATAAAATAAGGATATAGTCGCGTTATTTACAAAACTGGTCGTTTAGGATGCTTTTCAGCAGTGAGTCGTTCTCAGCGATCAATGAAACACACGTGTGTGTGTGTGAATAAATGAAAAACACATATGTGTATGCCATTACCAGGTTACTTATGTATATTAACATTATTATTAATTAACAGCGGGTGGTTGTAGGGAAAAAAGCGTCCTTTCAATATTCGTTCAATTATATTTTATACTCAAAGAACAAACGAGGTGTTTTAATTATAATAATAAAGGTTTATAGTGAAACACTTTTTGAATATTAATAATAATTTAATTAATATAACTGTGACAATATGACAATTATAAGTATTTACACGATATGTACATTTTTACATAATAATAACTGGTATACAAACATTTATTAATTATTCGCCTTGCGAGAGCCTATCTAAACTTAATAAATTCTTCGTTACAACCCTAGGCCGAAACAAATTGTCCCACAACACTATACACTGAATAACCGCACGCGCCAATATTTGAATTCCCCTTTAGTCGTAACACTGAAACTTGAAAAACATCTGACAGAGACGCGACAGGGCTCGTGTCTTGTACCTGTCAGAGGCTTCAACCCTTAAACATACAGAAGGTCACTTACACACAACACCGACGACAGAGAACGACAAATACATTTAAATTATTCATATTTTACAATTTGGTCCAAATTTCGAACCACATATGCAATAAGTGAAAATTTGCTCTGGAGTCAATATTCCATAGCAAAAAAGGCTTATATTTCAATAACACCCAATTATTACGCTATGCCTATCAGCTTAAGAACGAGCTGGTGACCTTCTGTATATATTATTAGATGGATAGATCTAGTCTATCGAGACAATAAGCGAATCTTCTTCAAGTAGCGGGGCAGAGGGTTTGCGGACGCGGCGCGAGGCCCTTACTCAGAGGCGCGTGTGAGTAAGGCCGTTGGGAGTTATTAGCGGTGTCAAAGTAGATGGCCGTGCCTCCAAGTGCATAGGCTCACAGGCGGCAAATGACTGTGACGTCACCGCAGTCGACGCTTCAGAACGGGATCCCGCCACGGCCGCGCCTGTGCGCCGCGCTCCAACGCCCGCGCGGCTTTGAGCCCTCGCTGTTCCACCACCCTTCTTCCGTGGTATGACACTGTTTTCGACGTGCAACGCTGCATTTACATCTTTTCCGGCGGCACATGTACACGCCTTCAGAAAACTCTTTTTGAAATTGTCACTCAGAAAGGCGTATAGGATGGGATTCATAGCGGAGTTGCTGTAGCTAAAGCAGGCAGCGACCAGAAATACGGTAATCGTTATTCGACTCGCACATTCTGTTGGAGGCGAATAAATAAGAGCCACTTGGAAAGTCCAGTAAGGAAGCCAGCACATTACATACACAGCTATCACAGTAAGCACGAGGCGAGTGACTTTCCGGTGAGACCGTTTCTTCTCTTTGGACTTATTTTTTGGTCCAACCGTCTTTAGTTTTCGAATGACTAGACAGTAGAAGATAAATATCAGCGTTAAGGGTGCCGCAAAGCCGAGAGCAAAGGAATACAGGGTGAATGTTCTTGATCCTTTATTGAAATCACGCTCCGGCCAGACGATATTACAGGAAACACCATTCTCGGTTGGTATTAGGGTGGTATACATAAATATAGGTGTCATAACGAGCGCGGAGGCTGTCCAAGCTGTAGCAGCTACGATTCGAGATACAAAGGGCGTACGGAAACGCGGGGCCGCTATAGGATGGCAAACTGCTATGTAGCGATCTGCACTCATAATGCAATGGAAAATACTACTCGTAAACTGATTAATGCCTGTCGATATCATATACGCCTTGCACATGAATCTTCCGAAGGGCCAAGCGCCTCGTGACATGGTAACGATGAGGAAGGGTATGCCTATAAGGAAGCATTCATCGGCGATGGCTAAATTGACAATGTACATATTAGTGACCGTCTGCATCTTGGAGTACCGTAGCACTACGTAGATGACGAGTGTGTTGCCCAGGAGCCCTACTACGCACACAATTGCATACAGCAACTCCGTGACCACATACACGACGGGCAAGTTTATGTTAGGACAGTTCTCAAATGTGCTGTTGAAGGTACTGTTGTCATCATACAGGTAGCTGCCGCTGCCATACATCTCCACGTCTTCCAGCTCCATTTTCACGGATTTTTGTGCCTCTTGTCGATGTTAGCAGCAGGCTATTTACCTGGAAAAGATTGAAGAATGTTTTAATAAAAGATAATTTTTCTGTATTGTTTAGGTCCTCAGAAATTACAGAGATTTCTCATAGTTAAAGACAAAATATTATTCTCAATAGACGCGATAAATGTTTACCTAAATAAACGAGTTTCCGCGTAAATAATTAAGTAGAGATGTTTTGAAACGTTCACCCTTTTACCCTGATTATGTTTCAAAATTAATTAAATTGCTCGTAAAACTGTCTAAGCAATTTGAGGGTCTACGAGTGGCATCCAGTAACCCCTCATAAAATGCCATTAATTATTTATTACTATCTACTTACATCGTGCAATGATGGATGACTCAGAAAACTCCCGGACCCGAGTTATCTGAAACAAAAGAATAAGATTATAAAGGTAGCTTTAGTTGGAAAAGTTCCGTTTTGGCTTTCAATTCAATAACTGTTTACTATTTCACTTATGTAGCGTACACACACTCTATTTTATTGGATAAATATTAGTCAAAATTACATTGTCTTTTATACAGTGGTACTTCTGTCTTAAAAGTACAACATTTATGCTATTTTACTTTGATACGTAGTACGTTTATGATTTATGAGATGTTAATTGCTTGCGTAACATATCTATACAATGAATTGTTTTGTAAACTACACACCCATGTATTTATTTACAAAAATATACACACTATCCTTAGTACTAAACCAATACGATATTGTCGAAAAAATTATATATATGTAGGTAATATTAAATACATAATATCGCTACTGTGAACTCACTCTGCGAACACTTAAAGATGTCGATAGTGTTGGAGACATTCAGTAGGCACAACGCCTTTGTAAATCATAGAGTATCATTAATAATTTGTTTTAATTCGTAACTAGTCAAAATATTTCTCGGAAACTGGAACTTATATCAAGAAAATCCTCTTTTGAGGAAATAGTCTAAGTTTCCTCCCATTCGGCTCAATTTCTGAGATATCCACGAATCACTGGAGCAGACATGGCGTACGTATGTATTTCTAGCTAATTTGTCTAAATAACTTTTATATGTTACATTTATTTTTGATCTGTTGTTAAAATTCATATTTTATCATCAGAAAATGCTTGCATAGGTGTGTTCGTCGTTTGCATGCCCCATCAATCAAATACAAACAGTAAACAACATTCCGATGTCTTTTTATAATTTATTAATAACAAGGCAGAGTTATGTGGTACGGCTTTCTGGTAACAATTCATTTAAAAATACCTTAAAATTTGTATTTAAGAGACGGTGAATATTCAAGTCTGAGCTCACTATTGCCTACTGTCACAAATAATGTTTTGTCCGGAATTGAACTCAAAACCTTTGGTTTTAACGTTCTTATTCTTGAAATAGCAAAATGCTTGCTTTAACTTGCATTTTTCCATATAAAGGTTCGTCAAAGGAATAACATTAAATAAATGTAAAAAACGCAAATTACACACAATTCATTAGCTGATTCTAAGTATTCGTATGAACGCTCGTGAACCTCTGTGATGTCTCGTTAAAAACTAATTTTTCATGCAAACAGTGAACCGTGATATCGAACAAATTGCAAAAATGTGCTTGTCAGTGTGGTCATGTTTGTTTATTAAAATAGATGGGTGAGAGCTATACATAGTCATATACCAAAATGTCTGCCAAGCATGAACTCTGCGCTGTCGTTTAGACAACCGTTTTGGCGCATACAACCGTTTTGTATAGCGTTTATACAATTTATAAAAATACAATATCAGCATTGTCCGCCTCCTCTCTGCATTCCCGTTTTTTTATTATCGTTATTCGTTATTGACTGTATGTTAATAATTTATTTTTTTATAAAAAATATGTGAAATCTATAGTTGCAATATTTGTCAATGCACCATGTATCTACTTAATAATTTAGTTGCTTCATTGTTTTTTATAAAACCATGCGCCTATTTTATTTTAGTACCTATAGTAGTTTTTTAATTCTAGGTACATGGTCTTCACATATAATTATCAAATCAATGTATACAAAATATTTTAAAAACTATTGTGAAAGAGTAAGTATGGAGTTTCTTGCCTATTCTTCTCATTACGCGTCTATTGTGTTAGAAATTTGAGTTTATTGTGTATGCTGTAGGCATACTGTCATACCAACTGTGTTCCCAAAATTATTTATGTTGTCTTAAGGTTTCTATATTGAAGGTTTCGAGAATATTTCAAACAGTTTTAAATTACGCGATTATTAAAATATAGGAAATCAATTATACTGATATTTTTGTTAATACACGCGTTTGGATCTCACAGACACGCGTTAGAAGTTATACTTCTCTGATAAAAGATACAAGATAAAAATCTTTTTAAAAATGTTATTCTACGTTTGTAGAAAAAACGACACTAATAATAGAAAAAAGGTAAATGATCTAGTTAAATAAAGTTTATTTAAATATCACAAAAAAAAAAAATGTTGACTATAGCTAGCTTCAGGATGTCGGTTTTTTGTGACGGTACGCGCACGCATCGTAAAAATTTACTCTTATCATTTTTCCCTAACGCGCCAAAAGAAGTATAACTTCTAAAATGACGTTGATGCTCATGCTTGGCACGCACTGGCATTTATTTTACACATTATAACAATGTTAAGCAAGCCACAAAGCCACACAACTTACAAGCCCGCCTGTGCACCTAAATATTCTCTGTGGGCAGTAAACTTTGGCTCGTACGGTGAAGGAAAATATTGCAAGGAGGCCAGCTTCACTCAAAAATCGATTGTTTCTGACACAGAAGGCTAATCACTTAATTACGCGTCACGTTATTTATCCGCTATGGACTCCTAAACTACTTAACCGATTTCAAGAAAATTTGCACACCGTGTGCAGTTTGATCTAACTTAAAAGATAGGATATATAATTCTACTGTACGTGTGTAATAAATGGCTGGACCAATTGGAATAAATTTTTTTGTATGCGATTGAGTGGAGGATGGTTTAGATTCACAAATCAGCCCGGCAGATGGCGCTGGAGTCGGTACTTTCATACTTTATTTAATATCCTAATCGCTTGAGATATCATGCAGGACAACGTCTGTGGGGTCCGCTAGAATAATATAACAAATTCTAGAAAGTGATGTATATTTGTGAAGCGAAACCGCAAGAATGGTTATGATGCCACGACTATGAATGGATAATTTCATACAAGTTTATTTAATGTTATATTTAGCTGTTTACGATAAATACACAACGCATCAATGAGCCGATATATTTGTATTTGATTTGCATGTATATATAGCAATACTGGTAATTGTAATTTATATTTTGTTATTGCGGCCGCTTCACTTGTGTTTATTATTACAATTTAGCAAATATATCATAATATAGCTATAAATATAAATTCAGAAACGCAGTTCACGACGCCCTCACAATCTAATTGTACCTAAGTCTAGAACCAATAACGGTAAAAAAACATTGAGCATTGGGGGAGTGCTGCGGTATAATAGACTTCCACAAAATATGAAAAGTGCAGACAGCCTGGCAATATTAAGACTAAAAGACCATATCTTGAGTGATCCCAGTTATCTACGTAAATGAAAGTCCACCCAAGTTCTACTTCGCTAATTCATCCTTGAAGATCTTCAGTGACCCACGACGTGATAAATTGTATCATTAGTATATAAGTTCTCATGTAAGTGACTATTGTCTGTTATGAGAATAAATGTCTTTAAACCTAATATAGTCATAGAGCCCAGAAAATTTTTAGGTCTGGGTCTCAGATACAAAATATCTGTTTCGTGATCATTTGATTTCTTAATACCTAACACAAGCACGGCCCTAGGATTCACAGGTGTACGCCACTAGGCCAATACTGTTATTCTAATTATTATTTCTAGTAAAATATGGTTATCAATTATAATATTCATATATAAGATTTGAAGTTGAAATCTCACGAGTGTACCAATGGGATTTTATATTTTAGCCTTGTCCCAAATGACGATTATATTTCTTTGATGTACTAAGTAAATCTATTTCGTGAAATTTGTATTTCAATATTCTATCTGGTACTTAAGATCTATACAGTATACAACAATTTGATATTAACGCCGATTATTTATTCAACTTGGTAACAAAATTAACACGTAAAAAATAAAATGCCTCTTAATTTACATTTACTACTAATTCCCTAATAAAGGCGTAGAACGGATGAGAAGAGCCGGCAAGCAACATTTTTTTTTACAAAATGTTCGAACGAAAGTAGAACTATTGCTGCAAATCTAGCATTAGAAAGGTATTGAAATATTCTGCTGTATTTCAAAAAATTTGAGTAATTGTACTCATGTTACCTTTCAACTTAATGTGACAATTCGCGCTAACCAAACAGATATGTTGTAAGCAAAAAAAAAATTAAATAGATTATTAATATTGAAATAGTTTCTCACCTTTTATTTCGGATCTGAGGTAATCGATTCTCAAGACGTTAAGGTCGCCTGCCGTGAGAACTCACAGCATCTGAAACAATACGTAACATTAAAGATATAATTCTTATATAAGGAATTATATTATACTACATAATTATTAAGTTTTGGCCTGTTTTGTCCTTATACTACCAATGTAATCGTAAACGATACATTATTTTAATCAAACTTAAAGTCTGTTTATAATGAATAACAACATATTAGAGGCTTTATTCCCTTTGTTACTTTAGTTCCTGTAATATAGATATAAGTAGTATGTTTTGTATCTGATCTCTAAAATACGTCAGTATTATGCCAATGCTATAAATATTTTCCACATATTGTGTTTTGGATATCCGAGTTTTACTTTCTAATGGCGTCTGTTACTCCGTGAGCGACCAAAGCTGTATCGCCACAAAGAGTTTCACAGATCGGTAGGTTTTATCGGCCCACAGCCTCGCACGCTCAATTACATTAACATTTTCTAAATTCAAAATCTTTAGCGTCTATTTTTAAATTAGTCAACGATTT